GGAAACGATGTAATAAAGGGATCTTTCGTTAACAGTGTTTAATATCCTCGGCCTGTTATTGTATCCACATTCCAGGAGCGTAGTACATTTAAAGTGGATATACACAACGGTAAGCGCTTACCGCTTGTGGTATTCATTGTTGATTTATTTCAGGACTTGTGAATAGAAAGCGATTTCCCGTTTGTGTCATACCTGAAATCTTTACTCACAGAAGTGTCACATGTTATACGGAAACACCGAAATTGTACAAGATGTGTCATCCTATGAGACGTGCCTAATTATGCCCGCTACGAAATAAAGCTCAAAGACTCAGCAGAAATACGGGGTGTCACTGTTTAACGAGCCAAAAAATAAATGCCCGAAGTTATCACGTTGCTCAGTGGCGGTATATCAGCTGGCGATTTCAATAGGCATTCAGGCAAGCTAGGTAAGAGAACGTATGGAATCTACTCAACGGGGTGCCATAAGTCTGGAGCGCTCTCTGAATCACTGATTATCCCTGGATAAAAATCCATGTTCGACAATCACCTACATTTGTACTGATGGCATCGTCTGGTACAAAGCTAACTTAAGGACTGCAATTTCCTCAGATATGAAGATTGTTGCTCCCGCCGCCATCGATTCCAGTGCAATAATATTCAGGCATTCTGGAAACCAGATAAGATGCAGCCTAATGGGAAAGCGCTTCAATAACATCAGTTCGCGCACGCATCCGAATTAGGTCGCATGCACACACGTGACGCTGCGGACCGGCTGAGTGCGGACTGGATTGCTGCAGAACGAATCAGTCAAACCCTGTCCAATCGAACAATCTGAATGTCAAAGACATATTATGATTGGAGCGCCACTGTTGGAAACAAATCATGTAGTGAAACATTTTGATATCACATCAGTTGTCGTTATCATAAACGTGCAATAAATGATCCGGTTTGATAAAACACTGGCAGCCATTTGACGACTATTATCCTGTCTATACCATTCATTCCTGCCCAATGAGTACTAGCAAGTATTGAGCGTGTCTACGCTTGATATAAAATGCATAAACGATAAATTAATAAATGGGAATCGCCAGCTGGTGCCTGACCGCTGTGTGCGCATACGTGCCCACAAGTACAAGCACCCCACACGAAATAAATATCAATCAACCGATCTCTGTTATCCTATGGATCCCGTGGTGAGGTGAGCGTGAATGACTATAGCATTTGAGTCCCATATTGGTCGCGGTATGCATAGAGTTCCCTTCGAGACTCGCTGCACGAAATGTGTGCATCCATAGCTCATAGTGGTGTTTTCCATAAACCAATCCAGTTTTACTGTTTACTTTATTCGCAGAAGCTTCATATTTTTTCGTCACGAAACGTAAGCTCTTAATACAAAACATGTAGTATTTTATTTCCCAGAAATGTGCAAAAAAGTGATTATTGTTTATAATATCATAACTGTTGAAGTTCCACAAGACGGTGCAGGGATTGGAATAGTTGCATATTGTAAATAGCGGTCAGGGTATCCGACAATTAGCATTCGTGCAACACACTTTCTCATTTGGAACTGGTCTTCAGGACTCTAACACGCACACAAGATAAGCAACAGAACGGTCAAACGATAGATGCACACTTCTGTAGTTACTTTACTGAACACCGAAATCCGTTTCAACAGATCCTGCTCATTTTAGACTATTGCAAGAAACCCCCGTCGTCTCTTTTTGCGTATTCCTCACAAATGTGGGTACCACCATTCAAAAACAATAGCTAATTTATCGGTTAGGGAGAAACATAAAGAATTCATGGCGTCGTATAGCTTTTTTTCCTGAAGCTGACCATGGATCGTGGGATACACATTTCCTCATCAAGTTTTCGCCAAAAATCGCAGTCACTTATCCTCGACCCGCAATCCTTGGAATCAAAACCCGTAATTCTCTAGCCGCAACCTTTGACCAATTATCCTCGATGCACAATTTTTTGTCAGTCAACCGATGTCAATGGATGTTTTAAAAAATTATCTTCGACAAATGTTGTCGTTGCAAAGCTTGGTCAAGGAATAAGGGGTAGACGTCACACGCTACACGACGTGTTCATTGAAGAAGGCTCAAACGACGTGCTTGTATTGTCAAACAATTGGGAAAAACTCGTACATCTTCAATATCTCCGTGTAAGGTGCGATACTCCTGTGGGTAGAAATGGTAAGTGTAACGCAAACAGAACCTAGTTTTACATCGGCAAGATAATTCTGCTTATAATAAATGAATACACGAACATGCCGGAAATAACACACAACTTTCACGAAAGTACACCCCCACAACTATTATCAATCTTTACCTTCTTGGGAAACGATGTAATAAAGGGATCTTTCGTTAACAGTGTTTAATATCCTCGGCCTGTTATTGTATCCACATTCCAGGAGCGTAGTACATTTAAAGTGGATATACAGAACGCATTTACCTTTTGTGGTTGTTTTTGTCTATTTATTCCAGGACTTGTGAATAGAAAGCAATTTCCCGTTTGTGTCATACCTGAAATCTTTACTCACTGGAGTGTCACAAGTTGTACGGAAACACTGAACCTGTGCGATTTACAGGTTTAATCGGAACTGAAGCAACGGGTCTCTGTGAAACATTTCTTGGTTCGTATAGGCAACAGCATTTGTACTGAAGTAACTTTTTTCCCCAAATGATGATAAACAAGCCTTGGTGAGTCTTTTTAGCTGTTATTTTTCTGATTCGTATACACTCAGCGGATGAAATGGGTTCAGCATGTAGCGGATACTCCCATTACGTCAGTAATGGTTCTCCCAGACCATGGTGCGGTAAAAGACAACTAAGGAAAGTGGAACAGGTTTTATTTAGAATAATTAGAGTGAAACGTACGCTAGTAGTCGATTGGTCTCCCATTGTTCTTTAGGAGTTTTCGAGTCTCATCGGCATCGAATCCGCCAGTTTTGTTAAGAAGTCATTTTCTATTTTGTGCTCCATCACGTATTGCACTTTTGCCTCCAAAACAGAAAACAGATGTTTAACCACATTGAGATCCAGGCTCTTAGATGGACGTTGCATGAACTGGAACTTAGAGTCACGCATATTTTCTGAGATAATGGGAAATTTGATTTCGAGCGATGCTTGCTTGATTATATTGGCAACAGTAAAAACATTCAAAGCTGTGCACAAAAATGACCTCGATTTCAAGATTGACTTTCATTGAAGTGGTACTTCTCAAATTCAGTGAGTTAGATATCAAACAGTTTATTATTATTATTATTAATATGAAACCTTATTCAGTCCAAATTCTCCAGGTTGTGAAAGAATTTCATTTGGTTATCCAATAGAGTTGCTATAATGGATTATATGTGATAAAATAATGGCTCATCACAAATAACCAAGATGACAGGGGTTGATGGAAATAATTTAGGATAATTCTTGAGTCATTCGTATTAGAAAATATTCAACTGAGGTTTCACAGTAAATGTTTGCTTTTCTACCGTACAGGTGTTCATGACAACTCAAAAAATAATAGGTCAACGATGGATTCTATAAACGAACACTGAAAGAAATCTGCGATTATGACTAATGGAGTGTTATTTTTACAGATGGTCCAAAAGATCGCCAACAGCGGAGTACAAACATTTCACAGAAGTGCAGCAATATACATTATAATTAACTGTCGATTATCCGCGTGTGAGGTGAACACCAAATAACATCCCTACATTCATACATAATTTGAACTACACTTACCGCTAAACATCATCGGTAACCACAACCAAAAACTATCGGGCTAACTAACCTTTATTCACCCAAAATTCCATTTACTTAGGCGTTATTTTTGTGTCGTGATTGTCGTTCTGTATCAAATTTTATCTTTCTTAGTCCGCATCGTGTCTACTAATGTGAATGTATTTCAGTGTTATCTAGGTTCCGCGACTTGAGAATCGCATGCTTACAAAGTGAGCCCATGCTTATAAAATCAGATATCTTCCGATTTCGTCTAGCTCAAATATTGAGAAAATTGAGTGTTGAACCGATTTTCGGTACATGTGACAGCGTTGTAGTGAAATTATAGGCACATTCATTATTGTTTATTGATTTTATGTATCTTGTGTAACACCAAAATCATTTCACATTGCATCGTTCTGTTGACCGTGGGTATCCACTTTGTATCATACATTCCTTGAGGATTACAAAATTATCACTTTGCTGAAATGAACCACGAGTAATTCTCGGATTTCTTAACTAGGAGCATGGTACTGAGTGATCCAATCACCTTTGGCTGGTTTTGTGCTCACTTTACAAGATAACTCTCATTTATTTGGGTTGCTTATATGTTGAAAGCAGTGGCAAAAAATTAATATCAACTAAAATCTTAGAGAATTTACATAAATAAGTAGTTACACATGGGTTTCAAAGCCACCTTTCGTAAATAACGAAAAAATAACAATGCACATCTCTTTCCATCTCTGACTGGTCTCCGAAAATAAACTCCGCAGCGGGAGAAGAAAAACCATTCCTGAGAAATGGAACTCAGTAGAAGGCAAAGTCCTGGATTGATGGTGTTTTCTTTTGATCAGATTGCTTGGTTCGAGACATGTTGCATCCTAGTTTTCTCGTTGTGACTTTTATGCAGATAAGTTATTAGGTAGAGAGTAGACAAAAGCGACATAATAATGTACTTCTTTGTTAAACTACGCAAAAAGAAAATATGTTAAAATACTTGAAAGTAGGAAATTTGTTAAAAGAGAAAACGCTTTTTATGCAGATGGCTTCACCGCAAATGCGGACTGACAGAAAACTCCAGAGTTATTATCAAAGTATGAAACGTTTTATTTTTTCAGAAAGAATTTATATTAAGTGCAGTGACTTCTCGGCATAACAGAATTTGAGCGCCTATTTGCAAAAGCAGTGTTTACACGGGCCTACTGGACATTCAATGCATAATTTACAGTTTTAATCTAGTTGGTGTTAGTTCAACAACAATCCGTTAAACAAGAGAAACAGGAGAATGCCGGAAAACTGTTTATTCAGTTTTCACAGAATCTGAAATGAGAAGAAAAATAAAATACAATTACTGAAAAATTATCATGGAGTACTAGGAGATTCATTACTAGATCCAGAAATTAGTAGTTAGCGGATATTTGCAATAGACCAGTAAATAACAGCATCCAACGGACTGAAGGAGCGTCGCATGAAAGTCCTCTGATTGGAATGCGTTCACCAGTTCTTACCATTAGATTTGTATAGTAAGCTCAAAACTGGTTGTTTGGCAAAATCCGTGACTTTAATTTTCATGTGAAACTGGTCACCTGTAGTGTTGAACGGTTCCGTTGGAACACTGGACCCGCAAACAGTCAGCGTATCCGGACCGGTTAAATCACTTGTACTCCCGAGTTTCACATAATTTTCCATACAATTTGTGGTTGAGCCGATCTAGTGAAGCGGAAATGAACAACCGAATGTTGAGAGATAGTGTACGGTAAAAACGCATTGGGGGTATGTGTAAGAGAATATATTGTGTGCTTGACTGACCAATATGTGTTCAATTGTAGCAGTGATAGATTGTCCTGCGCTGTTCTTTGTTTGATATGTACAGTCTACTTCAGTCTCAACAGCCTCTCCTTGTGCAGGGAATTGGAAAACTTGCTCAGATCCGTCAAAGCTGCTTGGAAGCATTCCACATGGCTTCGTGGGATCGACTGCGTTGAAAAATAAATATGTATTCTCAATCAAGGGGTTTCTGAAAGAAGCATTGCTACTAATAAATCTATAAACGAAAGTTGAAAAGTAATCCGCATTTATCATCAAACAACCAAGGGTTATCTTTGAGAAAAGCTCCAAAATTTCCTGTCCTGTTTTTTTTCTAAAAGTCATTCTATAAATCAGAGAATCTAATCTAATCTAGTGGCAGTACCGTAGTCTTATATGTAAGTACATTTACCGATTTTCATGACCGACTTACTCTGTTTTGCCGTAGCAGTATATCCTCCTGTTCCATTAGCCAAATGATATTGCAGATGTAGTTAATTTCCAGAGGAAACAAACTGTTCTGGTAATTTGACACTACAGTATGGCGTAGCATTTTCCAAGTCTTCCAAACGATTGGCGAATTTAAGATAGTTCGTCTTACACTCTCCTGAATCATCCGCCGGTAACGTCTATGAGCGTAAATGAAACACTGTCGTTACCATCTACGTTTCTATTATTATGACAGTCCTAATTGTGAATTATTTAGCGGTAATGCACATTACTCAATACTTCATTGCCAGCGTTCGCCAAAAATACAGGGAAATTGCTACTAGTCATTTTGATTTGAGAATAAGAAACGGTTTAGGAAACATTTCAGTTTACTCAAATGGTTTTTCCACACAAGTTTAAACATTTGACAGCTGGATCCATCAAATGGAGGTAAATTTAGCTTTCAAACTTTTGCATAACATCGTAACACATAGACAAAACTATCATAAGTATCACGGAACTATCTTGGTATTATATGCCATACAACGTAAGCTCCTGATTCAAAAGAAATTTCACGAAATATCGAGATTTTCCTCGTAGATTAGGTTATAAAATCAAATGATGCGAGCACAAAGTAAAACCAAGAAAATAATGACAGTTTTTCCTTGTAATATTCTATTTTCCAAAAGAACAGATTAAACGTATTCTGTGATGTTCGTGGTTGCTTTTAGAAAATAATTTAGTATATAAAAAAAACAATAGGTCGTTTGCAGAAGTGAAAAATGATGAAAGGAAGTGACATATACTTTAAAGGATTACAAATTAGTTTACCAAATTCCGTAGATTTGTTCACCAACATGATAAGAACAATCATTTGGATAATTACGAAACCCTATGGTCAATGATAACCCATATACGGTGACTTGGTGTTTCGTTGGTGAATGTATGAACGGAATTTTGAAACAGATTTGGGACTGAGTTACAACATTCGTTTAAGTGGATTTATTTTGGGCGGTTTTATGTAAGTGTATCAATACAATTTCAGAATTGATTTCAGTCATCTATTTTGAGTTTCGCATGAGTCACTGACAAAAATATTAAAATATGGATGGAATATATTGATATGTACACAGCAATAATGGGTCATATATTGCTTTTTCGTCACGTGTTGTGTTCAAATGATAAACAATAAAGAATGGTTCGAAAAATTGAAGTGTAAGTTTATAGCTCATTTTGACAATCACCCATAATACAACACAAACGTTGAAACATCAGGAACAAGGAGTTCATTTTATTATTTGAAATGAAGCTACCTCACTAAACACAAAAAGGTATTCCGGATAATCTGGAATCATTTTGTAAATCCTCATTCACTTTTCCGACAGCAACACTCCTCAATATGAATCACTTTTGTAAGTTAATCTCATGCTGGGAATGAATTATTTGACACATAAATGTACATAAATAGTGTTCACTTTGGAAATTTTGCAAAGTTCCCAGATGAACACTTCCCACAATAAATTGAATATGAATCCTTAAACTTACGGATAAGTCTGTGACTTTGAGTTTCAGCTTGTATCCTTGTTGAGTATTCACAGTTACAGTACACGTGGCAGCTTTAGCTTCCGTACTCTTTTGTTGTTGTGATATATCCTTAGTACCAGTCACTCCAACAAAAGTTGCATTGCAGTTTGGGGATTCTTCTTGTCCTATTGCAGCAGATGCAAGGATGGCAATCGCAAGCGCTTTAATGAAAACCATGGTTTCAACGGGTGTACATGCTTCGTTATGGGCTATATTTCTAATGTGATTGTTAGATTTTGATTGGCTTACCTCTCATTTTGATTTGCAGGCATTTGTGTAGGAAGATGGCTATAAGCCATATGATTAGTGACATGCTGGAATGCTGAAGCAAAAGGTAGGAGAAGCAACCAATGTCTAATGACCAACGATTCCACATTTTAAGTAACTACCAAACATATACCACATTTCTATCGAACAAGATTTACCAATGCGGTTCTACACTTAAGTGAAGATCCGTCATCGAGGTTTAGCACAGTTGATATCCGTTGCTCTTTATAGATAAAGTCAGTACTCAATCCTAGAAATCTTTAAACGAAAACCCCTAAATTACTTGTGCAAGTCTTTCACAAGATTAAGTTCAGAAGAGGCGACAATTGTGCGTTTTATATGAAAACAATTTAGCTGTATTTCAACATGGCGTATACTGCAGAAAATCCAATGTTTACATACGGCTTTAGCATGAAAACAAATTGAAGCAGAATACATTAAAAACGCCTGCGCCTAAATGAACAAAGGTTAAAAGTACCATGTTACCAGGGTAGGATCAGGTTGACAAATATATATTTTGGTTCACATTGAGAACTCCATAGATTAGCAATATTGCAATTCGTGACCTGTAGACAGTCCAAAACACCGTGATGCCGTCGATCTGGTTTTCTGTCGTCCGCCGTTGTTGGTGCGCAATGTCTTAGGACGGCGTTTTGTAGTTTCGACCGTCGTTTCCATGTACCGGACCGGAATACTTTATCGCTTTAGGTTATGCATGCTTCTTCTCAAAGTCAAAGTCTAAGTTTTATTGTGGGAACAGCTTACAAGCTGGTGCTTCTCTTGTCCCATAAGATATTTACACAGATGAATCGTCAAACATCGAAAAAGGAGTCACATAGAGTTTCGGGTAGGAGATGGAGAATGTAGGCTACAGTGAATTTCCGTTTGCCTTTAGCGGTGTACGAATGTGAGGTGTGCCAAGGTTTCGTCTAGTCCCTGCTTGAAAGATTCAATAGTGGGTGCACAAACGACATGAGATGGAAGGGCGTTCCAAGATCTGCATACTATGACTGCAAAAGACTGGCGCCGGCAATCCAGTCGACACCTGGGAATCAGTAGTTTGAAAAGGTGTCCCCTTAGGTGTACATTGTTCAAT